TACGATAAATCCTTTATAATTAGTTTTTATTGAGCTTTTTAGAATAAAGTTATTTTAACGTCCCCTCTGTCAGTGGTTGTATAGAAGTGAAAACTAAAGTAAAGGCTCTAGATTTTTCTTTTTGACAGATTCCAGTTTATAAATTATTAATGTTGCATTTTTTACAGATTGGCTCGTTTTTGGGTTCATTTATCATGTTCCCACTAGTGAATATCTTTCACGTATTCAAATCTGCTCCGGTTTGTCTTTAAATGTTGATGTGAGATGGATTCTATTAGTTTCGTTGTATTAGTTTAGTCTTTCAGATAAGTACAGATATCAAAGTTTTAACTAAAAATTGTTGTCTGTTACTTTTTTATTACAGATCTAATTACTTTGTTTGATACATGTGTAATATTAATTCGCTTCCTCGTCTTTCTAGTTGTTCTCATCACACTTGCGTGTCATCTTTATAGTCTTTTACAATGGCTGAGGTTTTAAATCAGCAGATCCTTCTTCTCATATCACTTTTTTAATTTAAATCTGTAGATAATTTGAAGCATATACTTTTCAAATGTTGTATAAGATTTGTTAATGTTTATTCATTCACACAACTTTGCGGGTTATTTAATATTTTTGTTGTATTTTAAAGACCAACAGACATTTCAGAGCTATACTTTGTTAATTTAGTTCATGACATTGTTTTGGCATAAGGCTGTATCGTTCGAATTTTCTTTTTAGTTCACTTTTCACTTTTTAATTCAGTAGCCGCTGATTTCACTGCTTTTCAGGCAGGAAAGTGGCATATAAAATTGTAAACCTCAAACGCTTCTGAAGCTATCTACACAATCCCATTCTTTTAAATAAGTAGATTGCTAATGGTATTAGTACTACACAGGAGGCTTAAGAGACAGGATTGCTACTTTTAATTTTCAGCCTTTATGAAATGCTTTTAATAAATAGATTTAGGAAAAGGAAAAGTTTTTGTCGAGAAATAAGGTGCAATAAATTTGAATCATTACTCGAATTAAAAATCAATTATATATACCATTAGCCCATTATCTTCTTTTAGAAGTAGTCCCAAAAAAATAATATAATCTTACCACAGAATTCAAAGGCACAGAACTTCACAAAAAAAAACCAAAGACAGAGTTTTAAACATCGATCTGCGAAGAAAGGTTTATACGAACAAAACAGTCTAAATTAGCGCTGCCCAAAAGCATTAAAAAATAATGCGCAGTAAGAGTGCTTCTAAAATAAAATAGAGCAAGTGCAGTTTTTCGCACGTAAAGGCACTTCAAGGATGCAGGCTCGTTTTACTACTATCTTTTCGAGATGCAGGTGTGGGGAGCAGTTGTATTCTTAGTAAAAACACCTGCATTTGAGGTCGTTCTCTCCTAGCCTTCACCTCTGTATGAGCGTCTAGGCCGTTTTCTAAAGTGATGTTCTACGCTTCGCAAAAGCTCCCTCAACTCTACCTCATCTTAGCGTCTTCTCATTCTGAAGTCTCATTAATTGAACAATTGGCCTTTTACGTGATGCTTTTCATGAGCTTCATCTTGCCAACTTTCCATGTTGCTTACTCAATGTCAATGCAATCTGCCTTTTCTCTTTACCGATTGCTTTCATCTGGTTTAGAATGGTATCTGCCTTTTAGACAAAACTGCACAGATTGTGAATTCTGCTGAAGAAATAGATATTTTCAAAAGTGATCATGAAGTGAGGTTTTCAGCTCAGCTGCAGCCAAAATTTTTTTATCTAACTAGTAGCGTATAATTCTCAATCGGCAGCAAGTACTTATCTACTCCTTTTATAAAGGGTAAAGAAAGTCTTTTCAAAGTGGTTTTGGAACTTAATGTTGGGACTGAAAGTTGATCTGAGTAAAATTTAAGCCAGTTTCTTATGTTTCTGTCAAGCTCTGGCAGCTGGGTTTTTGATGGCTGCGCAGTGAAAGTTGACGAAGTTGTTCTGAATCTCTGAGTGCGAGCAATACCTTCTTTTTCATTTGCTTTGAGTAACCAAAACTAAAATCTCGTCAGTATCAGTGCCGTGTGCCCTATTGTGTTTACTAGGCTGCCTTCTTTGCAGGTCCAGCCTCGTTTGATGCACTTCTTATTTTGTCTCGCAAGTTGGTAACTCGGTCATAAAGAGCCGCTTTTTGTGCTCGCTCTGTAGTATCCCTATTACTGTTTCTAGGCTTTAGGCAGTTTGTTTAGAGCTTCTTGTATATCCCTACATTATTCATAAGGCTTCCATATTGCCAAAATTCGATCTTCTAAGGGGAATTTTCGAAAACTTGTTATTTTGCGGAAAAGCTCTGACTAAAGCTGCTAGACACAGTTGCTGTTGAGTTCCTTCTCTTCTTGCTTTAAAAAGAGACAAATCAACGGTATAGTCACGTTCGTAGACGATTGTTGTTGTCCTTACCTGTTAATTGCCGCTACACATCACTATTTGAAATAACTATCTCCGCTCGTCTTTTCAGGAACTGGAAAGTAGGTTTTTTCTCTACTTCAAGTTTTTTTGTCAGTAGGTAGAATAAGACTGTGGATTAAGAGTTGATATTACTTATAGAAATTAGGGAAACCACTAAGTGATGTAAGCTGCAATATACTGTAATTGACGATGATAGGAAACCTTTTTATCCAGAATCATACAAACTACAAGTATGCACAAATTGATGGCCTTATAAGCTACAGGCCCGTTGATCTGCGGAGATCTTTAAGACTTATTACCAAAAGGTTTAAGTGGAAGGTTAGCGACCAATGTTTCAGCTCCACTACTTCCTAGAGGGCCTCAATACGATACAAAATTTCGCTTTTGGCAAGCAACGGACCCTATCACCTATAGTATTAATTATAGTTTTTCTCTATGGTGCAAATTCTGATTTCGTTTCCTATGTTGATTTTAAATGCACAGTTATGCAGCGGTTACTGCAGAAATAGCCTAAAACAACTGTAACTAGAGATATAAAAACGCAGAAAACTTCATTAAGACCAATTTCGTTGATTGTCTTAGCAAAAAGTATATTGACCTGAGCTTCTCAAAATAACACAATCAGATGGAAATGTGGTAACCAAGAACCGGGAGAAAAGTTATAGAAGAGAAGAAAGCTGCTTTACACAAATAATACGAACCAGTTGTGAGGGTGGACCTTTGAAGACGTTCAGTAAACGGAGTCTGTCGGACTCTGGTTATCAGCACTGACTGCAACGTATTTATGCGGTCGCATCCTTCTCTCAAAAGCTTTATTGATTAACGGAATTAGACTACTGTATCATTCAAGCCAAGTGTCAGTTTCCGTACGATCACGACACTCTTGAAAAAGGAAGAGAGTAGAAAGATAACATATATTTCGGAAGTAAGCAAGTTATAATGGGCAAATAGAGGAAGATCTAAAAAGCGACAAAAGAAGGAAGTAGACCAAAAACTTTAAGTTATGAAAAGGTTTCTAGTTTTGAAAAGACGAAAAATCCTTCTACTCGCTTTCATTCCGCAGTTCAATGTTTTTCTTCTTAGAATCTTTGCACATTAACTAGTTTTTTTGTGTAGCTTTATCCGTGTTTCACCTGACGTTTGTTCACATAGAAATGTAATTTAGAAAAGTTTGGCCCTAAATATATATTTGGCCCTAAAAAGTTTGGCCCTAAATATACGTCAATGCAAAAAGTAGAAGTGAAAAAGAGAAAAGAAAGGAAGAAAGTAAAACATTTTAAATTGAGGTAAACAATCATGGCAAAGAAGAAGTAGAAATAGGAAATCTTCAGTCCATAAGGAGACTGCACCACTAAATAGTGGGAAAGAAATCAAAAAATAACAAGCAACAAACAAAAAAATTTATGTAATGGACCCGAGTTAAAAGAGTTTCGCTGTAATATGATTTCGAGAAAAATAAGGATTTTTTTGGTTCTACGTGCTTGTTACCGGTCACTTGTTTTTTGTGATATAGCAATTAGACATATAAAGCGAATCAAAGGTGCACAACTGCGTTACGTTCAATCTGATGCAGAAAATCTGATGATTGTTTAATAACTTTCTTAACTGTTAAGTTGACCTTGAGTGACTTTATGCATTCGTTCTTCATTTTCTGGACCACTTCCAGTCTTTCAAATGTTTATTCACCTTAATTCAAGTTAATTTCTTTCATCAAAATGATGTTCTCATTTTAGATATTAGAGCAGATACCGGCCGTGACTCTTTACGAACCGTAATTTGCTTGTTTTCTGAAATGCAAATCTGTAAATACTTATTATGAAAACAATTTCAGTAGCATATTCTCTTTATACGATTTCAGAAGTTTTTTTCATTTCTATGAAGAAGCATGATGTGGAATTTTGAGAAGAATTCTTGAAATTGGGTCACACTGTCATAATTGATCATTATGGCCAAGTCGCTTAGAAACGTTTTATACTTGTATCAAATACGCGGAAGGCATTTCTCCCTAATACGACACAGTAGCTCTTAGAATAGAAACAGATAAACGTTGCAAGCTCAATAGGCAACTGAAAAAGGTGCTAGGTATCTTTTTGTTCATTCTTCAAAATTTATTCTTTGAGATTTATTGTTCAAAGGTCACTGTTTAGATTCAAACGTTTCTTAGTGTTCTTCTTTTAAAATTACTTCTGGTCTATCGGGTCACGTGCTCGTTTGGTAAATTCATTTTCTTCTCTAGAGATTCTGGTAATTTTCACTCTTCCTTGGTTCTTTTGGTTCTTTTGGTTTCTATTACTCAGCTCTTTATAGATTTGTTTGTCTTAAGTAGCGTTTTCATTGGACTTGACAGTATGATTATTATTACAAGGTCCTTTTGAAGTTGCTAGTGGTAAGTGTTTGGGTTGGTTTGTCAAGTAAAATGCAACGCATTTAATTTGTCGTTTAGGGTTGTCACCATACCGAAATCTTATATGAAAGCATTTAAGTGGAATGGAAGTTTACGTAAGCAGAAGCAAAGAGGGTTACAAAGAATATGGCTAGTGAATGGTATTACGGTCCACAGCGCTGGCTGTTTGCTCATAGTAAAGTCTGTATTAAACCCAAAACTTTATAGAAAATCTCCTGAAAGTGATTACGTCATAACCACAAAATTGGAGGCTTGCTTTAATATACTTCATACGTTACCAAGTACGTAAACAGATATAGCCAATTTAGAAAGCTGAATTATACACCATTTTTTCAATAAAACATCGGGTTTCTGAACAATTTTTAACTCCATCCTTATTATTCTTTAGTACGACTTCAACTTCTGTGTCAAGTAGAAGTCATCGGAATCTCA